TTTATTACTGCACTGCGCCTACTAAATTTATTGACTCGAGATATTACTTGTGATCTATTTCGCGATCAAATCAATAGCGTGCTGATGGAAAGTGATGTCAGAAGACAATATAACCGGCGAGCATGAAATAAAAGAATAATAAAAGTGAAGAAGGCGAAAGATGTATGAAAGAACCCGGTCTTATGGCACTCGGTCCTTTCTGCCTACCCCGCAAGGTATACGGCATAGAGATATATATAGATAGTTACATAGAGATCCTTTCCATCTACTTACTCTATAGATTTGTATACTTCTATAAAGTTGTATTTTTAAAAACAAAACATTCTCATTCAAGACTGTTTTACTTTTGAATAAGATTACGAAAAACCATACTTGTTCCATAAAATTCTATTTAGGTTCCCTTTATTACGCTACAATGAAAAACTTTTTGGACAAGTGATAAAATATTTAATTCACTAAACCAAGGTTTTGAAAAGAACGTAAAGAGGTCTTCGGGCTATTCGTGTATTGCTTACTCTAGAGTGACGTGGGACGGCTTGCCTTTGCGTTTTGACTGGTCACCATTCTAGAGACGGATTCGCAGGGTAGAGTCTAAACCACAAACCTCAACTCTATCAGTCCAGTTTTAGAGGAAATTAACCATGACAAAACACCTGGAAAATGCCTGTTTGTACTTTATATGTAGGCAATCTTTATATATCATAGATTCAAATCGAATAGAAAGTAAACGGGCTATAACTCACGACGCAGGCTTGGTGGTTGGTGTTAACGATTACAGATGCACCCGGCAGCAATGGCTTGTGCCCTCCGAAGCACGAGTAATTTCGAGACAGTAAATTAGTCACAAATCCCATAACCTAACTTTGATAAAGTTGCTTAACTTCCACATTGTAAACCGACCGCGCAAACCACTGCGCCGTAGAACTCCTAAATTTCGTTTAAAAGTATTACATAAAAGATATGCTATAATAATACCACTTTTTGATGGTCTCACTTTTAGTAGGACACAAACCAAATCATACATTTATATTTGTCGTCAACTTGTGGGGCGATTGCTATTGGATTGAATAATTTATATCTTTGATACACTTATGGATTCGGAAATTCGTGTATAACATATTCAGAACAGTATTTTATTCATAGAAACCTATGATAACGTGAATCTGTTTGTTTATATCGATAGATTGTTTAGAATATAAATGAAAGTAAATAGATTTTATAAAATCAAATTATCATTGAAAAATATTTTAAATAATTAATTTATCAATATTCAATTCATTAAAATAGTAGTTAAAATATTATTTTCATTTAATAATAATAAAAATAGTAATACTCGACTCTATGTTATAAGAAAATAGATAAAGTATTCATTAATTATGTTACCATACTCTTTGGAATGTTAGTTCAAAATTATGAGGAATCTCTGAATTTGGCATTTTATCAATTTCCCCATCCATCGCTAAAATAAAAACAATATATTGTAATGACTAGTACAACATAATCTTATTTGTAACATACTAATTTTGAAATAAGTCTACCTACATATATATAATGATTATTCTACTTTTTCCAAAGCCCAAACTGGTGAGCTCTAGGATCACATTTAGTGAGATTTAAAAGTATAAATAACTACGGCGGTCCTGTGGTCCTGTATAATAACGTACCCATAAAACTTCCTTTTGAATCACTCTGTATATTGATGAAATTAAGTAGATTAAAATCGGATATGTACTTTAAACGATCTCATCGTACAAACAGAAAGAAACCACTGCTTTAAACTATGTATAGATTGGCATAACATGAAAAAATATCGAATAATTTTAGGTGTGAACTTCCAATTTTCTTTTATCGCTAAGGTAACATTAACATTATGCCGTTATATTTTTAAGGTCACCCCATAGTAATATAATATCTAAAGTTAGTATGGGAACTGTAACATCTGCGTGACAAAGAAAAATGAACATTCCTTGGAGACGATTTGCGAATGCCTTCGAATGTATTTTAATGTTACGCACATAAACAAATGTGACAAGATTCTAATATATCATTGCACTCAGTGAACTGAATATTTTAATAAGATTTACTTAAAGCACTGATATTAGTTTGATTACGATAAACGAATGAAAATAATATGTCTCTAAAATACTTTATAAATCCTATTCCAACCTTCATCTCTATTATAATTGTAATGCGATATTATATCAAAATATCGATCTTCACTTGGTAAATAGTTTGAATAAAATATATCATTTATTATTATGGAAAAAATCACTTGAAGTTAAGTTCGTTAAACCATTATACTAATTATAAATTAAAGGAAAGATTTGAATAGTAGTTTGAAACTAATGGACCTATTTTAAAAAATATTTCACCTACGGGAACTACATCTTATTATACCCTATTTGACGCGGGTAAAGCATGTGAAAACGTCAAGTTTTATTAAAAGTAAGATGTTTATACAAAAGATTAAGTTGATAGCGAAGTTCAAAGTTGATTGAAGAAAGACCTATATTGTAATTTGATATGTTGCTATGTACAACTTTTTAATATAAGCAAATTGAACGACGTAAAGGTAACTTCATTATATGCACTTAGACGATGAAGTTACGAAGATACCAGTTTATGAAAGAAAAGGTTTGGTTGAATAATGTAGAAGTGAGTGTGTGGGAGCGGGATGAATTTACGAAACTAGTAAAAGAAAAATGAAAAAAGTGACAGAATGAAATTGATAAGCAAGCTCTCACATAAGAGTTTAATTGATTTATTATTATTTCAAAATGTTATGTTATGTGAGTAAAGTGAGTGTAGCGGGTAACACTCGTTTCTATAGTCAAGTTATTACTTGAGTAAAAGTCATGAATTTTTAACCAATAGAGGAGAATTTGAATGAAGTTAGAAGTGTCAATAGCTTATAATAATAGTATTCTTCATAATTACCAGCCTTCTGACCCATTACTGGGACTCAGCCATGCTCATCACATCATCACTAGCCTTTTTACGTCCCCACTGCAGGGGCTCAGACCTTCCTTATGGATGGTTAAGGAGGATGAGCCATGCCCCTCCACGCTGGCCCAATGCGGATTGAAGGGTATTAACGACTGCAAATGCAGCTTTGACCAACGGCTTGCGAAGCACGGAGTAGCTCGAGATAATAATTTATGGTCACCCATCCCGTGACCGACCCTTGCGAAAGTTGCTTAACGACTACGATCGCGGGTCGCGGCGCTTATCCACTATGCCACCGAGCTACTACAGCCATGCTATTCTTTAAATATCTAAACCTGAATTCGAATCCACTCAGGTGTCTGAATTCACTTCAAAATGCGGCAGCCGCTCAATCTTGAATCGGTAATAATGTTTCGTGGCATAAGTAAAACGAGTCTCGAAATCACATAGAAATAGAATATCTGAAAATTGTATATTCAATCAATTTTGTTTTGTATTTTCATACAAAAAATGGAATCTATACAATTTCTACACTAAATGACGTAAATTCTTACACATGAGTGAAAAGGGATGATGACTAATTTTTGTTTGTTTGTCCGGCAGGTAGAGTGTTAAAAAATATTAAATACGTATTTTTTTCGTAATCTTAAAATTACGGCGTTACATTGAGTTGAAATTCCGCATGACGTCACGTTAGGGTACGTTTTCTACTCAATTGTGACGTAGCGAGCCCCCACTCCTCAACTTTAATGGCTGTTATCTAAGCTAGGTATTTCTTGTTAAAGTGAAGTAAAAAAAAAAAAAAATTGAACTGACTGACGGACTAAATAGAATTGCATTTTTTTTACCCAGTCATCATCCCTATTGGAATTCTTGTGTGGATTTCTACAGAATCGCAGGGCAGGACTCTGAATTAGATCAAATAGAATAGGGAGAATAAGCCATGTATGACCACCGGGGACAGTGCGGATTGGTGGGTCTAAACGACTACAGGTGCAGCCGGGACCAACGGCTTAAAGTGCCTTCCAAAGCAAGAAGAAGCTCGAAATAATAAAATTTTTTGTCACCAACCTTAAAACCGGCGCGCTTACCACTGCGCAATCGAGATCCTCAGTTTTCCGTTAAGAAAGTTCATATTTTCAATCCATAAAATTAATGTCATTAATATAAAATAAATCCATTCAAAGGGCACGGTTAATTACGATCGAATCGCCGTAAATTTTCCAGAAACTAAATAACGGTGTAACAAACCGTTTGCAAATTAATTTATGCTTAAGGCCGTTTGCAGAGATTAGTTTGGGAGAAGCAACAGTGAAAATTAAGAGTATCCTTTTATCGTTATACCAGTGAAATTAATGTAATGTTTAGGAATAAAGATATCTGAAGTGTGGTTTTTAATACCTGATTTATTAAAATAATAATAAATAAAGAGTGGAGTATATTTTTTGGCATCCTGGCAACCATCGGCAATGAGTTTTGTTATACTTTTTGAAAGGTACTATAGATAACCACGGCGGAGTAGTCATTTGGTTGACTTGTTATATTTTACATAGGTACATTTATATTTCGAAATTGCTAATTTGGTCCTTCTTTCGTCGTTTATTCACACGGTATTTTATTGAAAATTATTTTGAAGCGTAAATAATGTTTTTATTTATTTATTAACAATGCAAAAGTTCTATGTTAATTAAATTTGAGACGATAAACTTTTTTCTAATTAGATTTTTTTACATATTCTAAACAATGTTTATCTTATTAAAAATAATTCAATAAACTTTCTATTAAAAATTGACTCCTACTATCGTACTCCGAAAAGCAAAAAGTGTCAATAATGAATTCGATTTCTGCCGAAAACAGATCTTTCCAGTGCATGATTCAAGTGTACATTAATCGATTATTTCATATAAACAAAATAAAACTTCTTGAAGACACTAATATTATCATTCTAAACAAGGAATTCATTTGCATGTCATTTAGTAAAATGAGTATACATTTTTTAGAAGCATTATTCAGCCAAGTCTGGAGCCGTACTCAGTTTTCAGATTTCAGCCCCTAGTGATTCGTAAGGCAGCGTTCCCGCGCGACGCACGCACGCTCTCTTCTTTACCGACCGCACGATACATACGACGAACTTAAAAATTAACTATATCAACAGTACCCAAATTAAATGTGACATTCGATAATCTCCTGACATTTAAATTAAAGTAGTTTTTACCGTGACTTGGTTTTTTAAGTGAAGTGAGTTGCTAAAAAATATTGGTGGTCAGTTTATTTAAACAATTGAAAGATTTTTCTCGTAAAGCGACATGTTAATAATTAAGTGAGAGTTTCAAAAGTTGTTGGAACAAATTGAGTGAGTATTTTTTTTTATTTGGCGTGGATAATTTAAAGTTTTCGCTGTGTATTTAGGTACGACTGAGAAGTTTTGGGTAGACAAATATATTGTCAGAGTAATTAAAAAGTTTATACACAACTCCAAGCTGTTTTTCTTTATAACTGTAGTATAAAGTATAAATAATCATACGTATAAAAATATTTATATAAACGTCTGAAGATAAAAATACCAGTACTATAAATAATAATGTGAACCTTAAAAATTTTAATCTAGAGTTATCTCAATTATTAAAAAGTTAATATTGATTATAAATATATAAATTAATGATAGGAAATAAATATAGCGTATGCTTTTATAACAACGATCTAGTAAGTTTCATATTGTCTTTTGCTATTTACAAATATTTAATTCATAGTTTCCAATCAAGGTGCATACTATCCTGTAGGTATTTATTCTATTATGTGTATTATCAATGTACTCATTTGTAACGTGTTTATGGTGATGTTGTGTTATGTGTCCATGTATTTGTCTGTTTCTGTACGTGGTGTCCACTTGTATATACGTACAAACATAAATATTAACATATAATAAATTACCGTGCGCTTGATATTACCTTAAATATTATATATTGATGTACTCAATGAGTGAATCTGCCTTCTTGTGCAACTGTTTTGTATTTATTTTTTGTATTTATTCTCGTATGCATTTCTTTTTAATAATTAATCAAACAAAGCTATCTTTATAAGTTGTGTACCTCCGTAATTGGCTTAAGTTACTATCGCATCACAATATTATAGATGTATTTATAAATAAGCTGTGGAGTTTTTGAATAAATAAAAAAGAATATGCCTTTAGTTCAGCAGTTAGTTTTACGAATAATTTTTAATTAGACATTAATCGTGATTCAAACCTGGCTGATTGTGAACATATATATTACTAGCTTTCGCCATCGGCTTCGCCCGCGTGAGAATATGCCTTTAATTCAGCAGTTAGTTTTACGAATAATTTTTAATTAGACATTAATCGTAATTCTAACCTGGCTAATTGTGAACATATATATTACTAGCTTTTGCCAGCGGCTTCGCCCGCGTGGACCCTAGGGAAATGTTTAGTGGGATAAAAAGTATCCTATTATCTAAGTCAGCTAATACCCTATCTGTAAACCAAATTTCATCAAAATACGTTCATTAGTTTCGGCGTGATTGACTGACAAATATCCAAACATCTAAACATCCAAACAAAGAAATTTTCACATTTATAATATTAATAGGACGTTAATCGATTATAATATTTCACTTTAGGATTTTCATTGCATAGTTTTTTTTTGGAATGCCGCAAGAAAGTTCCTGGCTGTAGTGCCTATGCTCCAGTTCTTATTCGTTCCGATAGTTTAACTTTTTTTAAGGTCATTTTTCATTACTGCAACCAGTTTATAGTTGCGACATTGACATCGGTCTGTAATTTTCAACAACATCACATTATAAATGACAATAAGCGGTTTATTCTGTAAACCACTAATTTTACTAGGTGCTCTTAGTAATTGCTACGTATACAAAGCCTTTACGGTACGTTTCAACATCGGTACCCATTTTTTAATGATGCAAAGATTGATTACCCCAGTAATTATGTTATTGAGACATTCAATTTCCTATTATCTTTTGATTGTTAGATTTAGTTATTTATTTATTTCAATAATAGTGGGGTGAGTGGCTTTTTCGTTATAATACTAATATGCGTCCTGAATTTTAAAGGAAGAAGTGTAAGAATAAATAAAATGTTAAAATTAATTTACAGGAAAAAAAATATATGTGAAAATTTAATTAGAAAATTAAAGATATGTGAATGTAGTAGAAATATAAATGTCATAATTTAGTGAACCGTATGACGCTCAATAACAATAACAATAAAAACTATACTTTTCTGTTACAACATCTTCGAACTCGACGTCAAGCACAGCGTAGTCAAATTTGACGCTTCAATGAAATAAAATCTTTATTGTCTTTTGTAGTATGCTTTATTTTATTGAAGTTCGACAGCGCTGCGCTCACCGTTCAGTTCTAGGCCGTTTTATATCAGAAGTGTTATTATGTATGCGTCCTCATTACATCCTAAACAAATATATAATAAATAGGAAAGATTTGACTACTGGACTGATTTTAAAAATTCTTTCATCTATGAAAAGATGGGCCATACGCGGCCATACTTGAATGAATGAATGAAATACTCTTTATTGTGCACACCATACGTAAATGAACAAATATAATAATGTAACAGAATAGCACAATAGGCGGCCTTATTGCTAAAAACTATTTCTACCAGGCAACCTTAACATAATAATACAGGATACACTTGAAAAATTGGGTAGTAAATAAGCGTGAAGAGAAACCTTTTTATTATTTAATAATTCTTTATTATTTAAATATCTTTAAATCATATTCTAATCCTTCGATATTTGAAAATCTAAAAAAATGAGAAATTAACATACGTTACAAAGTTTTGTCTTCATCAAATCTTTCTTCAGAACTATTTCGAGTCGTTGAAATAAAATTGCAAGTTCCATCACAACGAAATTCACTTGAATCTTTTTGATTTGAACAAGAATGTCAACTCATATGAAAAAGATTGACAAACGTTGTGAGTGTAATGCCAAAACACTGCTATTGTCTATCTTATTACCAAGCCGCAGCAGCGGGACAGTGAATGGCGCGAGAAAAAAGGTTATCTACATGACTACCCAAAAAAGAAGGATTGTCTTTAGAGTTTTTACACGATTGCCGCAATAAATGGAGTGTATTGGGTTAAGGGTTAATCTATTACCTAAGTGATTTTTTGTTACACCATAACTTTTGAAAAATAACGAATATCAATGTGTATGGTATCTTTAGAAACTTTACACTATCCCGTGTGACACTAGTTATATATTTTTAAAGGGATTCAATATTGCAAATTTACGACGCCATTAAAAAATATTAAAAACAAATTTGTCTTTAATTATGCCAATTTAAATATATTCCAAAAATATATAATTTGTATACATAATTTACCGCTCATTTAAAAGAATGAAATAAATAAAATTAGATTACGATTCTCTCGATTGGAGAACGAGTCTCGAGTCTAGGCGTTGTAGTACCTAGCTTTGTTGTCTCGAATACTCCATAACACGAGGGCTCTAACTACATTTGGAATACATTGTGGAATGTAATGTCGTCCGTTATTTATTTATAAATGCTACATAAATCTTTCGGCTACAAAGTGAATAACATATCTATGAATTTTCCTCAGATAAAGGGTTTAATTACATCACGAAATGAAAAATTAAATGAATAACCAAATGAATTTTATGGGTACTTTCTAATATTTTTTTCCGTCGAGTAAGAAAACACAGAGCCGAGACAACATAGAAAAGTTAATTTTCTATTATTTATTCAATCGGGAATCGAACTTTAAACTTCAGAGATGGCGACGTGTAAGCCACTCGGCCATAGAGATCATGCTCGCGATCTTTATCATTTGTTTGATATTTTTATCATCACTCTTTCGTTCTTCATAATTGCTCATCACAATCTTTATTTCACAACAATCTTTATCAAATAAATAAAAATCGCTCAAATAAATAAAGACGGCTTTATCAAAAAAAAAAATAGAAATACTTTCAGCACCTTTATAAAAACAGGACACTCAATTATTTCAACAGATCTATTTTATTTCCTTATTTAAAGAAACGTTTAAGCATTAATTATTTTTTTCTAATTGTTTATCGTATAATTAATTGTATGTATTTGGAACTGTGAGCCTTATGATAACAGCTAACGAAGACGAATTAGCGGGAACTAACGACGTTATCGCCTTTATTTTGGTGTAATTTGGCGCGATAAGCCAATATCAAGTAATCAGAAGAAAGTTATTATTATACGAAAATGGCTTAATCATTCCATTCACTTTCAAACCCATATAATGATTCATGCAGTCTGTCCATTCATATATTTTCCGAGAAGCAATTTTTGTGCTTTTAGTAATGTTTTATTTTTTTTACGGTAAACTTTGCAAGTTATAGTTAAAAGAACAAAATTCTACCTCGTACAAATAAATTCAATTACTGCTGCAAAAATCAGAGAACCAAACGTCCAGGCATTCCATTATATTTAGAGAATGGGAATAATATCAAACAAATGACACCCACCTATGTGAAGCTGGGATAGATGACTAGTTTATACTTATGTTATAAAGAAAAAACTGACTAACTGAAATGACTTTTCTAATGGTCTTCAACGATATTTGTGTAAGTATAAAAAGTCGTAATTTCCATTTTTGTTTGTACAATTGGAGTAGCTCAACCGCGAATTCTGTTGGTGCTGGTTTATTTTTTTTTTATTTGAAATACTGGCAGATTATTAATTTAGATCAAGGTTGCCTAGCTAAATCAGAACGTGCGTCATTTTTTTAACGATTCCTCTCATCTATAATTCATGAAAATCGAGAAACACGTCCAAAACGATCGAAAAAATATAAGTTGCCTATTTTCCTTTTAGACTAACTATAAAGTTGCGGAGACAAACAGTTAGAGGGATTTGACAATGCCCTCATTTGTTAAGAAAAATAACTCTACAAAAACTTTCATGATATTTTTTTAAATTGTGCAACTAGATCGATCGAAGAGCGAGAATTAATAATAGGTCATAGCGAATTAGGGCCCTATTTACAACTTACCTTATATAAAAAGTTTTTAGCTGCGTTTAACTATAGAACTAAGTTATTATTGAATACCTTTTTCGCCTCTATTATGTGAATAGCTTTAGAACTTTCGTGTTGTGACCGCTTTATGAGGTGAGTTAATGGTTTCCTCCCATCAATCACATTTCGACTCAGCATATTGTTTGTTCAGCTGGCATTGTTCATATGTAAACACGCATAGGGCACGGATTAAGGCTCCATTTATGATTCAAATTCTTTATTCATCTTTTGTTGCATAGTCATATGCATAATTCACATTTATGAAGCCTTTTGATAATAGAAATGAA